TCTCTCCCCCTCCCTCCCCCCTTCTCCCCACACCCCCGTCCCTCTCCTTCTCTGCAAAGTCACAGGGACACTGACAGGACACAGTTCATCACAGAAGTCATTATTCAGGACTGAAGACTTCAGTGATCACTTTGATTTTTCTCTTACAAAATACATTATGAGCAGGAAAATAACATCACCACTCTTGCATTCACCTTGTTCCAAGGCAGTCATTAAGGAAAGCACAACACACAGATTGGGGGGATTCCGTAGGGTCCACGACACACACTGAACAGAGTAGGTCTGCGGCTGGCACCCCAGTGCTGCGTGAGCCCCGCCTGCTGGTGTCTTTCTTCCTTTGACCCTCCATCTGGAGTAGCTTCTCCCTGAAATCTGCACCCATCAAAACTACTGTTACAGACAACCGATATACTATAAAATAGAAATAAGATCATCTTTGGAAGCCTTTGCTGTGTCCAACCACCCAGGCCATGTGATCAAAGTCAGACACTGGGTGTGCTCCTTCAAGGGGCTTCAGGACACACCCCTGTCCCTGGTTCCTCCGGGCAGGGGCCCCTCTTAAGCTTCTGGAAGCTCCGGCACAGCCGAGCGGGAGCCACCACCAACTCTCCGGGTTACTTCAGACGTGTCCACTACGAAGGGAGGTCCCCTGCGTCCCTAGGAGCAGTTGAGCCACCAAACACCCCCCAAATCACCCTGAGCGTGTGATATGACAAGCCGGCACACTCCAGGCTTTGGTGGAGCCCAGGCCGCAGGATCTGGGCCAGGGGGTGAAGGTGAGCAGGGGGCACGGCCCCCCACCTCCTTGCAGGCTTGCCCCCAGTGGGAGGAGCAAGACAAAGGTACAAAAGCAGGAGGGGACGGCCCTAGCCCAGTCCCACTGTCACCCTCCCGGCTCCTCCTGCTGGCTGAGGGTGGGGAAGACCCCACCCAGAAAACCAGACCTGCGGTTTCCCTCCCTAAGGAGGATGGAGGGGTTCTGGTCACCCTCTGCTAGGAGTGCAGCACTGTGGTCAGGGTGTGCTGGGAAGTGCTGATCAGACCCTCCTGGGCGCCACTGGGCAGGCCCACAAGGACGGGGTTCTGGTTTCTAACCCTCCTCCGCCACTCAGAAAATACCTGAGGGCTGCACTCCCTTCAACCCCACAGAGGCGGCCTCTGAGATGCTAAACCCGGGACGGGACGGGACGGGAATGCAGAGCCAGCGTCTCCCCATGTCTTCCTGCATCTCCCCGGGTCTCTGAGGGAACCAGGGCTCACTCAGCAGGGCTCAGGGGAGGGGCCTCATCCCCGGGCTCCCAGGGGTCTTCCCTCCGGGCATCACAGATGTGCGAAGCACCCCCCCCCCCCCGCCCGGTAGCCTGGGCCCCAGCGGCTGTCACGCTCTCCTTACCACGGACGCGGCTACCGCCGGGTTGGCTCCTTCGCAGGCCGGGAAGCAATCGTTCTGCGGTGCAGTTACCTTGTTGATGCACGACTCAGGGACTCAGCGCTGTGACCCTCCTGTGACTTCAACACGACGCGTGAGAGTTTACTTTTCTACACGCGTGAAGACGAAGAGTCTCAAGGCCAAGGGTGAGGAAGCTGCCTTTGCCAGCGATTACGGACTGCATTCAGATAATAAATATTGTTACTCAGTCCCTAAAAAATAATTTATTTTTTTGTTACAAAACCGATGATCAGAGTTTCAGAAAATACTTAAGTTTACAAAGACCGAAATGAAACATCCACAGATAATCAGGCTTAAGTGCTGGTGTGTATTTTTCCAACCTTTTTCTAACACACACACACACACGATCATTCTCAGAACCGGAATCTGACGGTAACACACCTGTAACTACACATCCTAACACTGAGCCACATCAGTACACTGTTTCTGTAACGTTACTTCTAGAGCAGGAATACTGGCACACGACAGACTATTTAACAAATCCCCTAGGGATTCATATTTAGGCTACTTCAGGATTTTGTAGTACAAGAATACCAGAACACCTTTGATTATAATCTCTGCAGAAATTCCTATAATCAGAAGTATTGGGTTGAAGGGCACACCAGACTTTTTAAGGCTTTCCACACACAGTCAATGCCCAACTGGACCCCAGGGTATCTGTGGGGTTAATGTAGCCTCTCATCCCATCTGGACAGACTTCCCGCCTCCTGGCTCAAGGAGGACTCTGAGAAGCTGAAAAACCCACAGGAGCTTGGGCTTTCTTTCGGACCCCCCACTGGAATCCACATTCAAGGGCACGATTGTGTCTTTTCAAAATGCAGCTGCGCCCATTGGGCGACACCCACCAGGAACAGGAATGCCACTCAGCGTCTTCACCACCTGGACAGAACCACGCATCCGGCCCAGGAAAACACGGAGGCCAAGTGCCAGGGTCGCTGGAGTAGGTCTTTGCCGGGCCCGGGGGGGACCCGGGAGGAAGGTGACGAGTCACCGGACATTAGTCACGAGGTGCTGGGTCAGGGATTCTTAAACACGTCTGAGCCTGAGCACCAGGGACATCCCCATACAATCACAGCCAGCAGAGCGTGTCTCTAAAGTGCAGGACACGGGCGAGAGACCTCAGCACTGGGAGGTGTTAGTCTTGAAAATAGGTTACCTGTTCAAATCATACTCATGTTTCTAAGCTAGGCTAACAGAACTTCGCCGTGGTACACTGCTCAGTAAAGCAGCACGGTGGTTTCCCTAAGCCCATGGCGGGGGCCCATCCTCGGTCAAGGCTCCAAGGGGCTGAGGCCCAGGCCAGCATGAAGCAGGGAGTGCTGCTGAGAAGCAGAAACAGACCCCCCCCCACACACCCTGACCCCCAAGGATGGCCTGCGTGGCCATGCGCACACAGAGACTCGGGCTATCCCTAAAACCATCACAATCAGGTATTGTTTAAACAAACACTATATAAATCAGAGGGAAATTACATGTGGTTTTAGGACATCTTAGAAATTGCAAGCGAAGATGCCTTACTAAAGCAGAGTTATAACGAAGACCCTCTTCCCAGACTCATGAAATGATTGGTGGACACTGAGTCTGAAACGCAGGACTCATTATTCCGGCCACGCAGCGGAGCCTGGAGGAGAGGGTTACCGATTGCAAGTCGGACGCCTGGATCCTAATCCCATTCACGGGCCGTGTGGCCCCGGGCAGGCCACGAGATCCACTCTGCCAAATAATCTGCCAGAATCTCAAGTATCTGTGCAACTCTGGCTGGACAGGCCCTGCCCACAACCCCGGATGCCTAAGGACAAGATGCCAGAAATATGCATACTACGCGCTGGGGCAGAGAACCGAGCACGCGCGCCATCAGACAGGTGAAGAGAGGGGCCGTTTTACCACTAACTGATACTAGAACCAGTATTTTATTTCATTATACATTAAACATCATTTAAATAATCAGAAGGAACCAATTTCCCGGATCGGTAACTGACTACTACATTTTCTTTAACCAAAAAAAAAAGAAAAAAATTTATGAACTATTTTCAGACCTTGCTTTGTTGAACATCATGATTTCTAAGTTTTACCGCGGCAGCCAAAGAGAGGAGAGAGGCTTGAAAATGAAAATGGTATGCTGGCTTTCAAGAGTTACCTGAACAAGTATTACATCTTATGTGAACTCCCGTTTGATAAGCATCCGAAGATGGGCTCAAATACTGGTTCTGGTTTGACCCCGTACTCAGAAAAGGCCACAAAAGAATGTTCCACTTGCGCAGTTCCCCCTTCTTGCTCTTACCCGAGACCACGGCCTCGCTGCCCGGCTCTGTCGCGGGAGTTAAAACACTGTTCACAGTGCCCCGTCCACAGGGCAGAGGAGACTCCCCCACCATGGGATGTGATGGGACAGGCGTGGGGGATGAGGAAGCAGACCCAGCAGGGCCCAGGCCGGCTCGCCCGTGCAAACAGACACACAGACGTAGTCTCAGCCCTGAACGCAGGCCCGCGGAGCTCTTCTTTGTCTAAATGCACAGGTGTGCTTTCCAGAATGACCGAGCGCTACGTGTGGAAGACAGGGGTGGTAAGGACCGTAACTGGGGACCCACACGGGTTTCAGGAACCCTGGCAGGTCCAGCAGCTGAGCCCAGGGACTCTGGCCTTCACGGGCACGGCCCCCAGGCTCCACGTGCCGCAGTCGGACACCCCCGGGCAGCCCCCTGCTGCTCTGGGGGACCTCTGCGTGCCCCAGGCAGCGGGAGCGCAGCCCCGGCCAGTTATCAGGCTCCGAGGAGCAGAGCCAGAGTTGGACAGTGTCTGGGAGCCTCAACCTACCTGAAGTCTGGATAAATACATGCTTTTGTCCCCATTTTCCATGTCTTGACAACAAAAGAGACACGAGAACAAAGAAGTCATATAAAGTAGCATGTTTATCCAACTGTCTTCCATGAACTCAATTTTTAGCTAAAAGATCACGGAGGGAAGAGAAGTAAAATGTACAGATGTGCGTGGCCATGAGGACACATCGCTCCCGGGCCGCGAGGAGGTCTAGGAGAAAGCCGGGATGAAGTACTGCAGGGAAACGTCTTCATGCAGCAAATCAAAATGGATAATCTTGTTCCTGACAATGTCTGCGGAGAGAAGAAAACCCGTCACCGCGAAGACCCCTCTCCCTGAGCCCCTACGTCACCTCCTGGAGCCCGGCCTCCCCACGCTCCGCTCCCCGCCGCGGGACCGGCCCGCAGGCAGTGGGGACAAGGCCCAGGACTTTGGCGAAAAGGCCCCATTTACTGAAATCAGGATCCTTCCAGGAAAATGCAGTTTCCTGCCCAAGGGCAACCTAAGTGTGCAGAGAAGGCCCAGCACCAGGGCCCACCTCCCCCAGGGCACACATGCGGTGTGTGCCAAGGTGTAGGAGGGGTGCATATCGTGCCGAGGCCCAGGTCGGGCACTGCGCAGGGTGAAGGGCAAACTCCCCGGGGGGCCGCTCAGTTCAACAGCAGTGAAAGGCGGGGACGGGAGTGGCACAGGGAGCCGAGGGCAGGCTTCTCTCCAGGCCTCCGAGGCCAGCAGCTGGGACCACATGGAGCCCATTAGGGTGGGCCAGGCCAAGTGCCAGGCCGAAAGAGGGAGTGGTCCCAGGGGACGGGGGGTGGGGAAGGGGCACAGCACCAGCAGAAACACCCCCCAGGAGAGGCGGCAGGTGGAGACGGAGGGCGTGGGGGCAGTGGATCAGACACCTGGAGGATGCCACCCCAGGGGCAGAAACTACTGGCAGGAAAGGGTAGGAGAAATCCAAATCCAAATTTTGCTGTGCCACAATCTCCTGGTACAAATCTGCCACTTTTGGGGACCCCTACCTAAGTCCCCTTTCCGAGGGCACCAGGAGCTCAGCTGGCCACCTGGCCCAGAACCAACAAGGCCCTCTGTCCTCGAGGGCATGCTCAAGGGCAATGCCACCCCAGCACCGGGCTGCTGCTCTGCACGGGGCACGGCTGGGTTACCCTGGAGCCATGCAAAGGGCTCGCCAGGACCACAGCCAGCAGCCTGTCTGGAGCTCGTCAGCAGATGCGGGGGCCGTCTTAAGCCTGCGCGGACCCCACGCTGAGGTGCAGCTCCCACCCTCAGCCCCAGGAACAGGCAACAGGCCAGGCCAAGGGCTCTCAGGATGCAGCACATGGGGACACTGGCACCTGCCCCGGGACCCAGCCATTCCAGCGTCTCCATCCCTAACCCGGGCCCTCTGTCCTCCGCACACCACCTCCTGTGCCCCATCACCCCATCTAGTGCCTTCTGGACGCGCTAACTGCCCTCCTGTGATTTGCTTCGCTGCATGTCTCTCCTTCTGGAGGGTTGTCGTTCCTTGGCACAGGGCCCTAGAATTCTCTATTCCTTGTCTTGAGTGCTGGCAATCTGCCAACTGTCAGGTGCACACCTGGGCTGTGCTCAGCTCCACTCCCTGGTGGCCGAGTGCTCAACCTGACAGTTCTTCCATGAAAGGCGGACCTCCCTCTTTGTTGCCCAGGAGACAGAAAAAGCCTTAAAGAGTTCGGGGGCGAGTAAGCCCTTCCTCATGTGCCAATAACTGACGAGAGCCGAGAGGCAGGTGCACAGCTGAGTTAGACGGGGTCAACCCCGATCAAGGGACCACTGTGAAAAATCAGGAGGCGAGAGGAAGCCAGACGCCCAGATATGGGACAACTGCAGGAACTGCTCAGGTTTAGACCCAGAAAGGCAACAAAGGCAGAGCAGGGGACCTTCAGTCCAAGCACAATTTATGGGGTCAGAGGCTCCTCGCGTCCGGTCAGACCAACACGGCAAGACTGGATGACGGGCACCCGTTCTCCGGAAGCTTCTCCCCAGGTACGCACGCCCACATGACGGCCAGGTGAGGCGGCCACAGCCCCGTGCCAAGCCAGCGTGGCGGTGGGCCACCAGGAGCTGCTGAATCCAGGAAAACCCAGACCCCCACCTGCCCTAGAGCACCAGGTCCCTGCGGCTGAGCTGTGTCTGCACTACGAGACCGCGTACCGCCGCGAGCCTGCCTCTGATTACGGAATCGGAAACGTGAACAAGATCCCCGCGCACTCACTGCACACGGCCTTCGTGGGATTCACTTGCTGCCCAGCGAGGAACTGCAGGAGCTTCCGGATATCTATGTGCACCTCAGCCATCTGCTCTGGGTCTCTATCCTGAGAGGCATCTTCAGAGGCTACAAAGACATGAACAGCTCGGGACAAGACAGGGAAGCCGGGGCAGCATGATGACAGCTGAAATGAATGATGTATGTTTTCGCTGGCTGGCGCAGCCCGGAGACACCACCAAGGAGTGAACACCGTCACTGGCCAAGCAAGCAGGTACCAAGTCCTTCTCTCTAAAATGCTAGGCAAATTCCCAGCAAATCTTCCTTTACACTGTCCTGAAATATGACCCACTCTCCCCATTTTGGTCCAAGAAACCGGTCCCTATTAGTTCCCTGAAACGTACTGAGGAGCAGGACCACACAGAGCTGGCCCAAGACCGCTCCTTCGAAAGGGGAATGAAAAGAAAGAAAAGATCCTTTCGACCCTGGGCAAGCATCAGAGACAAGACCCTTACTGTAATTTATTAAAATAAACCAAGTAACACTGAAAGCAGTCATTTCGCCCAGCAGTTAGCAAAGCCTTAATCGTGTGCACTTCACTTGGCATACACGCTTCACTATAAAGTAAAACCCTTTGCTGTGCCACTCTGATGGGCCTTTGATAACCCAACCTGCACTTACATATTTTAACTGCAAAGTGGTGGGTCTATCGTGTGGTTAAGAATATGCGTGGCGGGGGGCGCCTGGGTGGCTCAGTTGGTGAAGCATCTGCCTTCAGCTCTGGTCATGATCTCAGGGTCCTGGGATGGAGCCCCACGTTGTTAGTCTCTACGCTCAGTGGGGAGTCCGCTTCTCCCTCTCCCTCTGCCCCTCCCCCCACTCACTTTCTCTTTAAAATAAATAAAATCTTGAGGGGAAAAGAAAAGAACATGCGTGGGACTAATCCAGTTTGCACATCATCAGCGGACTTCCCGGGGCCCCGCCCGCCAACCGCTCTAGCACCCGCTAAGTGCGCCGTCCCTGGCCACGAGCTCTGTGGGCACCACTCGGGCCCCCCGTTCCCCCAGTCTGGTCAGTTACCCTGCCATTTGCCGCTACTAAATTGGTCCCATGGTCTTTGTTACTGTGTACGGGAAGAAAACTGCGGTCAGGCAAGGAAAGCTGCCACCTGCTAATCTAATTTCGGAAATACTAGGGGCTAAAAGTGGGAGGAAGCAAACCTTGTCTACCTCATGCCATTCCAGGTGAAAAATGGGCAGAACAGGCTAGACCCAGAACCAGGGTTCCCCAGGGACCACTGGGGCAGGTGCCACTCCTCAGGCCGGGGAGACCGACCTTCCCCGCGTGGGCCTCAGCTGCCTGTTCCCTCCCCAGGCATGAAACTGAGATTTCTCCCATTTTCCAGGCAGAGAGCTCAGCAAGCTGTGCCACCCGAAACAATGTATTACACGCAAAAACATGAACCAGCAAAAACCTTACCTGACTGAGGGTTCCCCAGATCTTTAAAGTGAGTTGTAACACACACTAGTTCTGTTTCTATTTTCAAGTTCAATTCTCCACTTAGGTTTGCTTCGATAATCTGCAAATTGAGTATTTTATATTCTTAAGAAAAGGAAAGCAAAAGGGGGGGGGGACATCAGCTTCTGCCAAACCAGGTGACAAGGCAGCCCCATAGCCCTAGACCACTCCCGACAGCAGCGAGACCCACCGGGCCTCTGCAGACACGGGGGATTCCAAAACCCCCACCGGAAGCGGTGGAACTGGGAGAGGGCACGGGAGGCCTGACCCCAGCCCCAGGGAAGAGCCAGCGGTGACCCCAGGGAAGAGCCAGTGGTGACAGGATGCCTCAGGAGCAAAAGCGCAAGGTGAGCAGAACGGGGACATGAGGTTTACAGGAGGGAAGACAGACAGAGAGAGGTCGTGATGTCGAAGGGGACGCTACGGGGGAGGCAGCGTGCTGTGGTCACAAGGGACAGAGAACCCTAAGTTCTCGAGCTCAAACCGTCCTGGTCCCACTCCCACCCCGAAAATGAAAACCCGTCCTCTAAGAGGATTCCCAGTAGGACTGTAGTCAAGCCCCACACCAAGACCTTCAGGAAAGACAGAAACAGCGGCCGAAGGGCGCGCTCGGAGACACAGAGCAGAAGGGACCACATCAGGACCCGTGGGGGGAAAACACCAATGACAGAAGGGAGAACGCAGAGCCCGAGGCAGAGTCAGGGGAGCACAGAAGTGCCTGGCCAGGCCTCACGCAGGCACAGGCGGACTCGGAAAGGGAAGGACACTTCACCAGCGGAGACCAGACCGGAAGGACGGGAGCAGGCGGGCCCCGGAGTGTGCAATGAGGCCGTGAGGACGACACACAGGACCCAGAGACTGCCCGGCAGCAACAGAGACCAAAGGGCCTGAAGGGGACCCCAGTGAAACACAAGGAGGACTTGCAGTCCACAGGGAGCCCCGGAAACGGGGGGGGGGATGGGGGGCAAAGCGCGGGAAGGGACGCACCTACAGGGGACACTGCCCGCGCTCCGGGACCGGGGGGACTGGGGGCTGCTGCCCGCGCGCTAAGGAAAACCCGCCGGAGCGGCTCACAGCGGCTCCAGAGAAGGTCCCTCGCCACGCCTGTCCCACCACGAAAGCCACACTACTCACAGTGACACAGAGAGAGCACGCGGCGCAAGCCAGAGTGGCCCATCCCGCCAAGCTGACCTCGCCTAGACGGGGACACGAAGCAACGCGGCTCCCGCAAGTCCCTCCCAAGTGGCCCGCTAGCCAACAGCTCGACGAGCCCACAGGCCATCTGCTGTCCCTATAGGGTGCAAACGGCACCCCACACTTACAGGGAGCTGTGGGGGCAGAGTCCTGGGGAACCGCTCTACACTCTGACAACGGAGATGAGGTACACCTGCTACAAGTGGGAGGGGAACGTGGAAGTTAGAAGCTCACCCACGGCCTTATTCTTTAAACGGCCTAACCTGTATCCTAACTACCACCACAAAACCTTGAGGACTTCCTGGGAACATAACCCCTTATTTAAAAACCAAGCTCACGGGTTAGGCTCGGTGACCTGGGCTCGGTGACAGGCGCCTCCCGCCCTCCCTTCCCATCCCTGCCCGTGACATTTCCAAGGTCACACACAGCACTCCTTTCAAGCTCCAGGCTCCCCCACCAACCAGTGGGCTTTTGTAAGGGGACAAGATCCACCAGTGAAGTTCACAGAGCTCCACCCTTGGCACGGTGTGCTGCTCTCCAGGATATCGGCACCTGCCCCTTCCTAAAGGCCGCAGGTCTTCGGGAATCCACGTAGCCGTTTGCAAGGCAGAGTTCTGTTCACCCACCAACACAGGACGCCCATGGGAAGACATGGGGGGTGGCAGAGGTCTGTGACCGGGGGGCAGTGGAAGGCGCCCTGCCCACACGGCTCTGGGGCCACCACGTCTCTATACATATCATGAGCATGGTCTAGTATTCCTCATTCCTGTTCCTTAACAGTGGTGAACTCTTGAGTATTTCTCGTTCTAGAAACAAACGTGAAAACCTGTCTGAACTTGAGTGAGCACTTATCTCAGAGGATTTTTTTTTTTTAAGATTTTATTTTTAACTCATCTCTACCCCCAATGTGGGGCTTGAACTCATGACTATGAGACCGTGAGTGGGAGGCCCACCAGAAGCCGGGCACAGACTCACATGCTCCACGGACTGAGTTGGCCAGGCACCCCAGAGGCTTTGGAAATTAAATAGAAAACAGCCCTCCAACTAACCGTTGCATCATCTCAGAAACGTGCCCTCAAATGTTAAGTATTTGCTGTCAACTTTATAAGTGAACCTAGAAATATGCTGTCGTATTTCTAAGCCCACCCTCCTGGAATCCAGAAACAATGCCTGACTGAAATAATATAAAACCACCTGTGGGTTCTCATTGCTTTTGAAAAACTGATTTATATAAAGATTTAATTCAGGAAAGCAGCTTGCCATGGTTTGAGACTCACTTCAGCCCTCCAGGCTGTTCTCGGCTTTCTTCCAAGTCCTAACACCCAAGTGATTCCACATTAAACCCCCTCCCTGAGCACCCCCAGTGTCACCCCACCAAAACGCAGTGAAGGAAGGAATGAAGGGCTGGTTCTCTGAGCACTGGTCACTGTCATCGGGAACACCCCCCACTCCAGCGTTTCTCTCTCTCTTACGGGTCTGGATAACACCTTACTTCTTCCCGCGATTTCTTGACTGATAATCACCTATCACTTCTGGAAGACGGACCAGGTGTGCTGGGCACCCAACAGGAAGTGCCTCTCTGCGCCCAGAGAGCAGCAAGGCCCCGGTGAAGCCACGCTATCCTGCCCACTTCCGGTGACACCTGGCACGGGTCCCACGGGCTGCACGATGAGGCTGGGAAGGGTCCCGCACCTGTGTGGCCCTGAGGACTCCCCCTTTGTCACCATGTCACGACGCCGTCACTCCTAATTTAACCACGAAGCTGACGTGCGGCTCTGCGAACGTGCTTCTGAGCCAGGAGGCGAGGCAGAGCAGGAAAGAATTCCCACCACGGCCCCGGACACGGTGCCTGGAAGCACATCGGGACCGGGTCCCAGACCCCGGCACACACTTCCTGAACCAAAACCTCAGCTGGCCTCACGAGACCCCAGAAGCTGGAGCGGGAGGGGGACCACCGGAAGCCTGGCATGGTCTCCAGCCCGCCCGTGCAGTTCTCCCCTGCTCCTGCACGGGTGCCCCGCGCACCACCCCGCGGGCCGCATCCTTCCCTGCAGGAGGTGGGGAAAGGGCGGGGGTCTCAGCGAGGGCGCCAGAGCACCTCTGGGCTGAGCCCCTCCCTTTCCACTCTTTCTCTCCCTACGACTTTCAGACGCAGAATTCTAGTCACCAAGTCATGCTCACTGTGCGTCTGGCCACTCTGGAACACACTTTCCACCGAGTATCCTAGACTGGAGCAGCCATGCCATGAAATCTCTGTTTTTACACATTCTGGAGGTACGAAAAACACCTCTGATGACTCTGTCTGGGCCACTTTGCTGAGTCATTTCCACTGGACCGAAAGAACCAACCACCAGAGCCTTGGATTAATTGCCCTGCCTCTTCCCTCCTGGGCCACTCTGAGCCTCTCGGAGGTGCCCAGAGCCGGCCCAGAGGACGCTCCCAGCCTGACAACCGGAGCCACAGGAGCCACAGGAGCACGTGGACATTCTGGGCAGAGCCCTGCCTCAGGACACTCCACTCCCGGCCACAGCACCGGTGATTCCGTCGAGGGAGACACGTTAGCAGATGAAATATGCAATGTGCTGTCCAAGGAACCAAGGCCCGAACTGATGAACGTACTCTCAATGTGCCATGGAGATAAACAGGAGGGACGAAGGCAAACACAGAACTCTCCCCAGTGAAGGGGGTGGAGAAGCGCTCGGACAGGGATCCACAGGCGGCTGTGGGTCGGCGGGCTCTGCACACAGGCCAGGTCCCGGGAGCCCCCGGGACACCACGGGCTGAGCGTAAAGGCATCCACGCCTCCGCCAGGCCAGGCCTCCTCCCAGGGCACGCAGCCCGAATCGAACACTTCTGAAAGACGTGGACTACGCTTTTGTGAAGAAGGCATCACTTACAAGGTGATTGCTGATGTTTTTCATTTTTTCCACGATGCTCTTCATTGTCTTCAAGGCTGGTAAATAAATACTAACCTACAAAACCAACAAGACACATCGGAAGTGTTAAAAACATGAACATGGTCAAGTCCTGACAGGTGCTCGCTACCTGCATTTGGAATGTGTGTCTGCTTAAATGCTCTGAAATCCTGTTGTAAAGCTGTCTGAATAAAGCTCCTTTCAAAACACGAAAAAAAAAACACAACTTTTCAACTTTGCTCCCTCCTGCTGGCCTCTGGTTACCTGGGCGACCGTGTCCCTGGGGGCATCCTCCCAGGGCCAGGATGCAGCCCTTTAGCTGAGATGCCGCTGCACACGCCCAGGGGATGACACTCAGTGCCCGTGGGGGCCCGTCCTCTGAGGGGCCAGAGCCACGCGCCGGGCCTCCTCCCACCCTGACAGACGCTGCGAGCAAGTCTGGCCCCGGCGCTGGCACCGGGTTCCAAACGACGCCCAAGACAGCGCTGTCGGCGCAGGTGCCTTCCGGCAAGAGTCAATAGTCTACCCAATCTCCTCTCAACATTGCCTCCAGAAATTGTGAGCGAGAGGCAGAGGGCCCTTTGGTATCACTGTTCCTCTCAGGGGCTCTGGGATTCCTGCCAGCAGAACCGGAGGAGCCCCCCCTTGGCCTCGCAAGTGCTAGGTTAGGTTAGTTTTACTCAAGCACGACGATCCAAGCACTTCGCTCTCCTGTGTGTAGAGTGGGGTGTTTCTACTATATGCAACACTGTCCTAAGATGTTTTACGTAAACAATGAAAGGCAAATACTGCAAGTTTTTTCCTGGAGTGTTCTTTAAAAATGACTAGGGTTTCCCCTCAGGTACTATACAATTTTTAAATAAAATATACTGTGAGCCCAGAACTAACATCAAGGAATTCTAATCACACCACAGAACACATCATGAGCGGAAGACGATGGGCCTCACTCACATCGGAGACTGGGACTGTAGGTTCTTGCAAATCCTTCCACAATTTTCTGGGAATCACCTTAACAGGGATGTCATGTGTCACAATGCGGCTACTGCTCGACACAGATAACTGCCAAGAGAAAAATTAAAACATATTTACATAGTGTCAACATTAAATAAGCAAACAGAGTAACCGAAGGATAAACAGACACTGATAACCGAATCTAAGTGGAATGGTCTTAATTCCTTCATCAAAGTCTATTCACCAAATATTTATGGCGCACCTTTTCTGCTCCGAGTCCCGTAAGGAGTTGGACATGTGGTGAGTGAGACAGGTCGCCATGTTCCAGGGGCCCACGTGGGTCAATAAGCGAGAAACCAACACACGCAGGCGTGTCTGCCTTCGGCTCAGGTCATGATCCCAGGGTCGTGGGATCGAGTCTCGTGTCAGGCTGCCTGTTTCTCCCTCTCCCTCTGCTGCTCCCCCTGCATGCTCTCTCTCTCTCAAATAAATAATCTTTTTTTAAAAAGCTGCAGTGTGAAGGAAGGTGGGGAGGAGCAGCACCAGGCTGCAGGTTTCAGGGAGCCAGAAGGGGAGACATTCCAAGCAGGAGCCCCAGGGTCCCCAAAGTCTGGGAGCTGGGCAAGAAGGGGACACTCTGGGAAACCATTTGGACGGTGGTAGTTGGCGATTTGGCTCCAAGACAGGTGGGGCCAGGAGTGCAGGGCTCTGGACATCACCGTTAAGAAGGCATGTGAACGCTGTCCTGTGAGCCAGGAGAGCCTGTGGGGTGTGTGTCCCGAGGAGAGCCGGGTGATAGAGGCTTCTGGAAGCAGCACTGAAGATGTGGGCATTCTGGGAGAACGAGAGGTCACCCAAAGGCGTCACAAAGGAGGTGGGGAAAACCCTTCCACGGTGGAACTGGATGGAAAGCATGAATCTGTGCGGGGTTATGCAGACACGAGAAGGTGCAGGAGTGCTCTGGTTCGGGAAAAGGCAGGGTCCCAGCTGAATGCAATATGACCACAACACTATTAAAATACGAGGAGGCCTGACTCCAACAGAAAGCAAGTATGTGTGCACACATCTTTCCTTTTAATAAAACCAACTAGCTTTCTCCATATCGTTGAAAAGCCTAGATTTACAGGCACTTGTATCCCTTCTGGGAAGTGTCCGAAATGCTCCCTCCTACTCACCAGCTCTATAGAGACCGTGAGGCAGGGAAAGTGTTTATTCGTCAGCTTGATCTTCAAGGCTCTGGCATTCTGGGCCGTTTTCAACGCTCGAGATAAATTTTCCGACAACAGCTCTAAATAGATGGCGTTGTTTTCCGCAGACACCCCCTCCATTTGGAATTCACTGAAGAAGTTCTCCTAAGGGAAGGAAAAGAAGGGACCTGTGTGGCCTCTCCGGCGGCCTAGGGGTGGAGTTCCCAGGCCTCCAGCACCGTCTGCTCACCTGTTCCAGCTCACACCACATGCTCACCCCTCCGCTGGCCGCTTTGTCCGAGACGATGAAGTTCAGCTTCTGCGGGCTGATGCGGAGCGTGCAGGTTTTGGCAAGCTTGGCTATCGTGGCACTGACCCCTGCGGCAGGGTAAAGCGAGGAATCAGCGGGAAGCACATCGAGTGTCCCAGAGCTTAACTCAGCTGGGACGGCGGCATCGGCCTGGTGACACTGCCCGGTGGGAAGACAACCCTGTCTGTTGGTTCCCCCGGGGAAAGCCCTCTGCTACCGAGGTCATGCGGGCCTCCCCCACAGTCCTGCCAGGTGTGGCCGGATGAGGAAAGCCAGCTGGGGGGTTAACTGGCCCCTAGCTGAGGGCTTCACTCACTCAACCCGCACTGAGGCCCGCAGGGGGCTGCAGCCTGGGGGCCAGAGCCAGGCCGGGCACCCGCAGGACCCAGGGCCCTCGGGGCCCCACCAAGGCATGTCTGCGCCCGAAGCTACGTGATCTAAATCAACCTGGGGAATAAGCCTTGGCACCTTGGCACCTGATCTCCTGCCTGCCAGGCCCCAGCCCCGACCAGCCCCTCCACCCCAGGGAAGCCCCATCCGCCTCCATGGCTCCCTGCTGACGGGCACTCTCGCCGCTCTGGCCCCACACCCCGCGTTCCCGCGGCCCCCAGGCCCCATCCCCGCCCCTGCCCATCGCCCCGGGCGCGCGCGCCCCCTGCGCCCCCCTCCGCCCCCCCTGCGCCCCCCCGCGGCGGACGCGGCCTCCTCCGCCCCCCGGCGCCCCCCGCGCCCCCCTCCGCCCCCCGGGCGCGCGCCCCCTCCGCCCCCCTCCGCCCCCCTGCGCCCCCCGCGGCGGACG